CAGACGAAAGTTGACGTATATTGGTAGTTCAGGCTGCATTGGTTTCCTTTGAAATTTTATCAAAGGTTCTCTAGTACCTCTGGTAAAGAACAGATCCCTCAATAAATGCAAATACATTGGCATCAACTATTTCTTTAGCTCCATGAACACATGAAAGCCCCTCAGTGAAGGAGACAAAGACATCAAGGTGTGCTCTCTCTGTGTGTGTTTTTCCTTCTCTGCCACCTTGTGTCCCTCGTCGCGTCTCGTTCAAGTTTCATGTGAGCTGATATCGACAGTTTGTCCCCCTGCCCCACCCTGCAAAGTGCTGAGTTTTCCAGGGACTGTCGCTATCCATTTGTCGTTTAATATTTCAGTGTGAGGGGTTTTCTGCGTGTTGATGCTGCGGGGTCCGCTGCAGGAATGGAGCTTTGGTGACTTGATTGAAAAACAAGTGATGTGTTTGAGGCAGCTTATGTGAAAAAAGGAATTTAGAAATAAAAAGTATTTTTTGAAGGTAGCTGCAGCACAGTCATGTTACAAAAAAGTAGGTTGTTGTTGAAGCTGTTGTGTGACATGTGTGCTATAATAGATAGTTTTCCAGGCAACCTGACCACTTGTAAGCCTTATTTCCTACACCACCTGTCCTCACATGAAACATAATGCAACTTGGAATTAAAGTGGGAACATATTTCCCACGCTAAATTAAAGACTGATTAGCTGGACTAGAATCAGATAAATTTTAAATTGCCCAATGACTGGCTAATCCTAAACTTTAAAAAAATCCAGCTTTTTTGAACTAGTGGCTCATTTCGTGATGTAGTTTTTACTAAAAAGAAAAACCCAAGTTAACAATTTATAATAAAGTGTTAAAAATAAAACAAAGCACAAGAGGTGTAAGAAAGAAACAAATTGCTGTAGAAATTGAGGGGAGTGGTGGTGCAAAGGCTTAGCAAGGCATTGCAATCAGCAGGTCAGGAGTTTGAATCCCCAGACGTGCACAAAAAAAAGTTTGGGTGAGAAAAACTTAGCACAAAAAGTATGTAAATTTCTGTTGGCAGATTATTGTTTGTTGGAACAATGGGCCTCATGCAAGAACATGTTCGTATTTTTATCCTAAATTTCTCTTACTTTTGTTCGTACAAAGGGTTCGTACGAACATGTCACGTCAGATTCAAAAAACACTTCTATCTTCAGGAAAAGTGCGTAATGAGCTGAAATTACACCTGTTTGTATCC